CATCCAAATTTAGATCGACTCTGTCCAAAAGTATCAGAATATAACTTGAATCGGAACGGGAGAATTTGACTCTATCATTTACGTGAATTCACAATGAAGGCATGGATTTTCTCAACTTATCATGGATTCTCCGTTTATCATCTGATTAGAAATTGCTTACTTTTAAGCCGGAGTTGAACGGATAAACAGACGATTTTAGACACCTTGACATTCTGGAATAGAAGTATATGCGCATCATTCTGTCACCGAGGTTACTCATGGCTAAAATAGGTGAAGTGCAGTTCAGCATTTTATCATGACCTCAACGAATGGTAGGTGGCAGTGATGTTATTTGCTGCCTTGTCCCGAAATCTAAATTGGTAACATTTGCTATTCATTATGTTTACTAAAAGCAGTTGATTGCGATTGAACTTATATTGATCTTTGGGAAAGATATTCTCAGTATGGCGAATGTGTAACGCGAACTGATCCCGACATCTTGGCAGACATTCTCCATGACGATCTGACAAGGACACAGGATCAGTTAAGATTACCGCTCTGCAACACGTTCAAAAATATATATTAATTCTTTTATTGCAAGATTTCATCAGTTGAAAAGAGGATGCATGTAATTACGTACTCGAAAGAATATGCAGTTAACAAACCTTGCACTTTTTACTTTCTTTTTTCCTGCCATCTCTTTTGTATATTACGTGTTTATACATTTTCACGCTTAGTGCTTAAAGTAAATTGACATTCCTTCATGTGGATCACTTAAGTAAATAAACGAACTTAATTTGGAGTTACAGTTGAAAATTATCTATCAGACCTTCAGTGATATTGTTTTACTCACTTTCTTCAAAGTACAGCCAGGTAGCTACCTTCCAGGCATTATAAACTGCGGTAAGATATGGTCAATACGTTTGCTAGTGGAATGAAGCCAAGAATTAGAGGTAAAAGAGAAAAGTGAAAGTTTATGATTGCTTGAATGTTATGTCCTCTTACACCCACATGATGAGCACCATTCGTGGTATTCTTCACTTTATAAAATTCATTGTGCGCTGTTGATCTCCGCTTCTGGGCCATCAGCCTAAAATGCCCCTTATTTTAAAGGCAATATCGGCAGTTATGTAAGAAGTATTGCGTGAAGCCTCTGTTTCATTTTCCTTAAAATGAAAATCGTTTTTGTGTTTGACTTTTGAAAGGCTAGTGATTCTGACAGGTCCTGGACTCATCATGTTTCGACCGTGAATTTGATGCCCTGTTGCTGAGCAATCCCTCTCAAGAAAATAGAGGAAGTGGTTCAAAGCGTTGTTGTTCCCCAAAAGATAGAGTTTTCGTGTGAAATATCGGCAGTTACCGACAGCGCAATTACCTCGTTTTGTGCGATCACCAATTGAGATCAGTGTATTGTTCCTTAACCTTAGAAATAATCACTGCAAGCATCGCTAATACTAGTATTATTCTGTTTATGATCCATGTACGCTTACGTAGGTAGAAGGTCATTAACAGTGAGCGAGACAGTAAGGCGGTCTTATTAAGAACAATCAAAAGATACAAAGCACGTTTTGACCGCCGAGCAACGTTAAGTTTATATAATCATCTACAGTGGAAGATAGCTTTACATTTGCACAGAGATAAATGGCTCATAGCCTCTTCACGAATGCGCTCTGTTTAACCGGATTTAAAGTTATACCCTGTCCCCGGTTCACTTTATAACGCTTTATGATGAGGCGGCACCGTTTCTTGTTGTCGTAGACGGTAGGGAAGGCATTCGCATAGTCGGCCAGAGGGATGTTGCTGGAGAGGGCGTGAAAAACAGGGGCGACCATGGTTGAACGGGAAAGAGAGGCGCTGAGGTGGTCACCGAAGACGGCAGTGCACTGAATGCACTGCAATGACTGCCTTTCAGAATCGGTGACTGTTGTACCGCTGCGGTGGCGATCGCGCCGCGCAGTTCCTCAAGAGACTTTGTCAACATGACTATGTAGTTGCGGGCCAACATCAAGGTGCCGATCTTGGACAGCTTTCGAGAGGACGGCGTACCGCCGTACGGAATCACCTGTCGAAGGGATTCCATGGCACGATTCAGGTCGTGCATGCGCCTTCGCTCGCGACTATTGATTTTTAAACGCAGATCCTAAAACATTGAAACTTGTAACACATGTATCGACGAAGTTTCAGCAAACTTTATTATTTACTTATTTATACCACATGTCCTTTATCAGACAGAACTTTTCCTCTTTGAACTTTCGAAATTTTGCTGTGGCATGGTCTCAATTAGTTATTAATAGGGTTAACATAGTTTATGCTGAGAAAAATATATTAAATGACGTCAACTGAATTATGCACATTTTTCGATAGGTATAATTTAAGATGATTATTGAATCTTAATCCTGACTCTGAGTGTTTCGATTTTGTCATGATTTGACAAAGGAGTACGGCTTTCTGGTATTGATACACACTTACCGACTCATTGTCGTTAGGCATGACCAGAAACCGGTGAATATGAAAAAAAGTTTTAAACTACTAGATCATGCAAGAAGCACCTTAGATATTTTTGTGTAGAGGTTATGCAGAATGGGACAAGAGTTATTCCGTCGGTAGATGGGCGATTTGATTTTCGCAAAATCGCCCTTTCGGCTGACTGCATATCATCGATGTAGTGTACAAGTGACCGAAATTGATTTTTTTTGATAAATTTTTTTTGACTCATGCGTATGGACCGAAAGAATTTCAGATATACCAGAAAGCGACTGCTTCTGCAGATTAAGAAATCACAGTTGTAACAGTTTGGGCACGTCTTGCGAATGCCATGGCTATTACTTTTTCAGCTGACAGGTCAGAAACTCCCGGGATGGTCAAAAATAGCCTGATGCAAGTCACTCTCAAGACTGATCCCGATGCGTGTCATCTTCTGCTGGAACTAAAATATTCGCACATACCAACCCGTAACGTTCAAAATGTTGTCTGACTCATCCGCCTCCGAGACCTGAAAGGATAAGCGGTCATCGAACCTGACCGATTTCGGATTGAATCCTGCATAATCTATCGTCTTTCACGCTTTTGTTCCGAATTAAAGAGTACCAGTGCTTGGGAATATGCACAATATTATAGAAGCGATCAATATGTGTATTTACATCAAAAGGCCTTATATGGTCACCTAGCTGCGGGCATTGCTACTAAACATTGCTATCTAGCCGGAACCTTGCCGTTAACTCAATGAAAGTGAGTGCCTCCAACATGGAAGTGCTAGGAAATCGATGTAATAATGTTAGGAATCAATTTTGCTTCCTTTTTCTTGCATTTAAATTTGCCTGTTTTACTGCATTTGTTATTATATCATAATCAGATGAGATTAACAGAGCGTAAATGGCAAAATAACCCAGACTTATGATGTGTACCCGTTAGAAATAGTACTACATCAGTAAGTAAATGAATATTAAGTAATATTCACTGCTGCGCTAAAGGCCATATTCGTTTTCGCAAGCATTTCTGCATCAGCGAAGTATTTCTGTTTTGTGCACGATTTTTCTTTATAAATCTTTACTTCCTCGTTTTATGAGTGCTTTGAAACTTATGTCATCGTCGTATGTCTTTCTGCGATGGTTTGGCCATGTGTTGCGAATGACTCCAGAACGGAAAGCTATGCAACTGTTTCTTGCGAATTCGACTGGCAGAAGACTCAGAGGACGGCTTAAGTTAACTTGGTGCAAATATATGGAAGGAGGCTGTTCCAGACTCCATTTGTCTTTTGCGGAAGCTCAGACTCTGGCATTGGATCGGGAAGGTTGGAAGCTCTATCTCACGCGTCTGCCTCCGCGACTCGAAAAAAGAAGCGGCGATGGAAGATGATGATGAAGATTTTCTGTGAATCCAGTCGCAGCTCGACGGATTTTAAAGTTGGATATTGCCAATGTAAAGAATCGTATGCCAAAGCGGCGTGCGGGGAGCGTGTCGTTCCTGAAACGGAGTTTAACCCTCCTTCCTCATGCACGCAGTCACCTAAGGAGACAGTGGCAGTCAGGTGATCATGATACGTGTCAGTTTATCTGGAAAACTGTAGAGTTTTCCGCATTCATCATCTGATCTGTATCACTACATGTCAGATCAGCAACATATCTTGCTGGAGATCCTTCAGCGGCGACATCTGAGGAAAAGGATCGGATGACCGTTGAGTTTCAATCTTCTTTATAATTTTATGATTCAGTACTATTTGTGACACCTTTCTTTTCATCAGGTTTATGGTGCACCTGACTATGGCAGCCTGTAGTTTCTATTTACCCTGCAAAGTTGTGCTCGTTATCAGTTTCAGAAGGAACGTAAGCTAGTGAGTGACCCGATCGAGGCTTACCTCTGTGTTATGAATCTGACGATCATCTCCGAATATTTCGCTGTTACGAAGGTCATCACTCAATCAAACGATAAGGTCGGGAACAACGTTGAAAAGCAAAATCAAACGTATGCTACGGCCACGCACAGGGAACATGTTTCTGTGGTTGCTTAAGTTGCCCCCTCAATAATTCTTCCTGTAGGATATACAGTTGCGATATCTTTGTTTAATTTGAAATTTCTGAGGCAAGCTGATACTTAGCATGATTCACTAATTTCTTTGGCATCACTAATGATGGTTTTATTCCGGAGGGGGGTCATTTTGACAGCAGGAGATGTTTTCTGCT